GTAAATTCTGCTGTGCATAGTTCATAGATAATTAACATAATGATCCCAGAATCAGTATCGAGTATCGAGTCTTTTCCTTAGTACTGAAATTGAGTTTTAGTTTGGTGACAACACGAACTGCAGCTCATGGTTTTTAATGACATTTGGAGAGGGTTTTGACTCTTTGCTCTGGGGATGTTTTTCAGTCGGTTCAGTGTAATTCACTCACTCCCATTGCTCTGGTGAAGCCCACAACTCCAAATTTGGTGGCTGAGTACACGGGACTGTAGGGTATCGCCTCAAGACCTGTGAGAAAAACACAGAATATTTAAGAGGACGTGTTTTACTTCTGACACATTTACACACATTTACATCACTACTTTACCTTCCATTGTTTTGAAAATGCTGCTTGTGTGCGTGTGTGTGTGTGTGTGTGTGTGTGTGTGTGCGTGTGTGTGTGTGTGTGTAACATAAATCCACAGTGTGCTGAGTGCTGGAGCAGTGCATTGTGGGACAGGACCTGCTATAGATGCAGTGTTAATGATGACCCCTCCATGACCTTTGCGCAGTTTGCTCATGTGCTCCAGACCGAGGTACGACACTCGAATCATCCCCATCTGAAACACAGTCACACAGTCTGAAACACAGTCACACAGTCTGAAACACAGTCACACAGTGAGTCTGAAACACAGTCACACAGTGAGTCTGAAACACAGTCACACAGTGAGTCTGAAACACAGTCTGAAACACAGTCACACAGTCTGAAACACAGTCACACAGTGAGTCTGAAACACAGTCACACAGTCTGAAACACAGTCACACAGTCTGAAACACAGTCACACAGTCTGAAACACAGTCACACAGTCTGAAACACAGTCACACAGTCTGAAACACAGTCACACAGTGAGTCTGAAACACAGTCACAGTGAGTCTGAAACACGTCAGTGAGTCTGAAACACAGTCACACAGTCTGAAACACAGTCACACAGTCTGAAACACAGTCACACAGTGAGTCTGAAACACAGTCACACAGTGAGTCTGAAACACAGTCACACAGTCTGAAACACAGTCACACAGTGAGTCTGAAACACAGTCACACAGTGAGTCTGAAACACAGTCACACAGTCTGAAACACAGTCACACAGTCTGAAACACAGTCACACAGTCTGAAACACAGTCACACAGTCTGAAACACAGTCACACAGTCTGAAACACAGTCACACAGTCTGAAACACAGTCACACAGTGAGTCTGAAACACAGTCACACAGTCTGAAACACAGTCACACAGTCTGAAACACAGTCACACAGTGAGTCTGAAACACAGTCACACAGTGAGTCTGAAACACAGTCACACAGTCTGAAACACAGTCACACAGTCTGAAACACAGTCACACAGTGAGTCTGAAACACAGTCACACAGTCTGAAACACAGTCACACTGTGAGTGTGAAACACAGTCACACAGTCTGAAACACAGTCACACTGTGAGTGTGAAACACAGTCACATTCAAACCCGACTCTTGTCCTCACCAGGTTGATGGACACCGTCTTCTCCCACTGAGTCTCGTCAAAAACTCCAGCGTTGTTACAAACAATGTCCAGTTTTCCAAAAGTCTCCACGATTTTCTGAAAAGCAGCTGGAAAAACAACAAAGACTTAGGGCCCTAATACAACAAATCTGCCAGCAGGGGCCGCTGGAGTCTGTCAGCAGGGGCCGCTGGAGTCTGCCAGCAGGGGCCGCTGGAGGCCGGAGTGGAACAGTATCATGTACATGTTGAGGACATCCAAACCAATCTGTGACCCCTGTGGCATTTCACATCACTGCCAGTGAGGGGGTCTGCTGTCAATCAAGCAGCAAAGAGCAGTGTGGGACATTAGGAAAAAAAAAAAAAAATGCATGGGCATAAAAAAAAAAAAAAAACGATCCGGGCCCCACGACGTACGTCTACACCAGTAGAGGCGTCAGGATTATAGGATTTTGGATGGTCCGTCACAGAAGTGGTTGGACTTGTGGAGGTGCGCCCCTCTCACGTGCACGCCCCTGTGGGTCCATGCACACTCATGTCAATCATAGTTTTCTCTGTGTTCCTCCGTCGTTCTTTTGTCTCCCATTACGGAGCAGACCAGTGGCTTTCTTGTGCACTCCCCATCCCACATCAGACCCCCTGATCTCCTCTCCCCCCTGGTCACACCTGCTCCCACCTGTCCTCTCCCGCCCGTCCCGTGTCTCTCACCTGAGGTGCAGGTTTCCACTGCAGGTACCGGACATGGATAAAGCATTAACATGGGGGGGGGGGGGGAATCACACGACTTGCACTCGTAGAAGGAGGTGCCATGACATAGACAGGGTAAGAAAACACTTCAGCATAGTGCTGTATCCGGACAGCACACGGACATGTGAGTGTTATGGATTTATCATATTTGAAAATAAAATAAGGATTTTTTTGCCTTGAATATTTTATATGAGGTTTTTGAGTGGAAATTCAGGCTCGGCAAACCTCTGGTGTTGGAGTGTGAGTGGCTCCTCTGGCTCTGCTCCTGCCTGCTCCTGTCTGCTCCTGTCTGCTCCTGTCTGCTCCTGTCTGCTCCTGTCTGCTGCTCCTGCTCCTGTCTGCTCCTGTCTGCTGCTGCTGCTGCTCTGTCTGCTCCTGCCTGCTCCTGTCTGCTCCTGTCTGCTCCTGTCTGCTCTTAGATGATGATGATGTTTAGTTTTACCTTTCAGTTGTTCTTCAGACTGAACGTCACATTCAATAAATAAAGTTTTGTCTTTTCCAAACTTTTCCTCCAGATTTTCCACTAAACTCGTCCCGGCTGCTGCGCTCACGTCCAACAGCGCCACCTGCAGACACAAGCAGAGCACTGTCATTATCAACACACGCCACCATCAGCTTGAACACACGACACACAGCAGATTCTGTGTCTGAGCAGTTTGAGGAGAGGAACAGTCCTCTGGACAAAAGTGTCCTCAGCAGGAGCCAGGTGAACAACAACATGCAGGTCTCTTCTAAACTTCACTCTCACTCTGCTCTGGGGTTGGTAATGAAATGGTCCATTGCCTCAAAGTATTCTCTAGAACAGGGAGTCAAACTCAAATTCACAGAGGCCAAACTTAAAACTAGGACTAAGTCGTGGGCCAAATTAAATATTTATTGAAAAAGTTCAGCAACATCTGCATGTTTTCTCATCTGAAGAAAGTCTGGAAATGATTTACTTTCCTATCCTGGTCTGACCGTGTACCCTTGTTTCACCTTCGTCAGTGCTGAAACATAACCAAGTAAAAGTAGTAAAAGTCTGTACTTTACTTTTAAATGAGTACTTTTTTGCTTTTACTTGATAGTAAATATTTTATATGATACTTTCACTTAAGTATTTTTTGCTTCAGTATCTTTACTCAAGTAACAGACTTGAGTAGATTTTCCACCAACTAACCCCAACACACACACACACACACACACACACACACACACACACACACACACACACACACACACACACACACACAGGTTTTACCTTGGCCCCGTTGGTGAGCAGCTCCTCCACCATGGCTCGTCCGATGCCCATGGCTCCTCCGGTCACCAGTGCCACTTTCCCGCTCAGTGCCATGTCTGATACACAGACACATGCACTGAACTGGTCTTTATACAGAAGAGATCTGAGGGAGGAGCCTGGTCCCTGCAGCACACAGAGCTCCACCAGGACACAGCCCAGCGCACACTCAAGTCAAAGTGTCACATGAGAAAATCTACTGGAGCAAATGTATTACAAGTATCTGTTTGAAATTTACTTAAGAGTAAAAGATCAAAGTATTTCAAGCAGATTTTGAGATCTAATAAAGCTTTAAATTGACTGATTTTGATACAGATTTGTGCTGAATTTTGTTCAACAGAAACAACTGAATTGGTTTGTTTTTCCTAAGTTTGTTTTTATTATTTTGAAACCTTACAAAAACATTGTCGACCCAAAGGACAAAACACCGAGCCACAAAGCAGTGAGCTCTACTCCATCCAGTGTAGTGAAGACTGAAGTGAGCGTCACACTGGAGAAACAAAACAAAACAAAAACAACACAGACGAGAGAGCAACACAGGACCTCAGTCTGCTGTTCACCTCCACCTAAAAGGACCTCAGTCTGCTGTTCACCTCCACCTAAAAGGACCTCAGTCTGCTGTTCACCTCCACCTAAAAGGATCTTAATCTGTGGTACATCTCCACCTAAAAGCCTTGGGTCTCTCCAGTGACAGGACAGTGAGGTACAGATCTGAGCCACAGAAAAGAATTGGTTTGGGAGGGGACTTAAAGAAGCTATTTTTGTTAAGAAAGACAATTCTGTTCTAAACAGAAATAGAGGTCTCAGACACCATCTATCTCCTGTTTACAACTCCATCCTCAAACCTAAAATAAAACAAACAAGAGAACAACAGGTGTATCCAGGTCAGGTCCAGAGGTGTGGAAGCTCCATTATGACCTTGAATGATTCTGCTGATAAGACCCACACTCAGTGCAGATGAATAGGTCGAGCTAACAAACAGAAACTGTAAACAGTGTGTGTTAGTTTCAGAGTAGTTTCAGTGTAGTTAGCTCCTCCCTGCAGACAGATATAAGGAAGTGTCCACCAACGTCTGACCAGAACTGAAGAAGCAGCTTGGATGAGCTGAGAAACGTATTCGACCAAATAAACTTTTGACCAGGTTAAGTCCAGGTTTAGTTCAGGCTTAGTTCAGGTTTAGTCCAGGTTTAGTCCAGGTTTAGTCCAGGTTTAGACCAGGTTCCGTCCAGGTTCAGTCCAGGTTTAGTCCAAGTTTAGTCCAGGTTTAGACCAGGTTCCGTCCAGGTTCAGTCCAGGTTTAGTCCAAGTTTAGTTCAGGTTTAGACCAGGTTTGGTCCAGGTTTAGTCCAAGTTTAGTCCAAGTTTAGTCCAGGTTTAGACCAGGTTTGGTCCAGGTTTAGTCCAGGTTTAGTCCAGGTTTTAGACACAACACACACTCACATTTATAACATTTGTATATTTTATTTAAATTGTTTTTAGATTAGTACTTGAAACTGGGCGTATTTGTTTTCATGGGGCATGACTATGAGCGCCTCTCCAGTCTTCTTCTCATCCAACACCAGCTCCATCAGAGCTTCTGCAACTTTACTTGCACTGGAAAAAGACATTCATCAAATAATGAATACTTTAAAAATATATATGTATATATAATTCAAAGCAATATTTTAAATGAACATGTATGTAAAGTGTGTAACACTGTGCCTGTGTGTGTGTGTGTGTGTGTGTGTGTGTAACATGCTGACGGGTTAAAGTTTTTTCTGTCAGATCACAGATTTGTTGACCTGGTTTATGGTTTCCGTGAGGGGTCACAACAAACGCAAACGCCGCAAAAATACAAATGTGACAACACGAACGTAAATGCCACAACACATCAAAAAGCCACAACGGAAGTGACCGCGGGGCTCTATTTTCCGACGGACCGATCAAGCGGCAAGTGAAGAAGAACTACAATGTGAAAAATTAAAGGAACGGAGAAGTTGGAAACGTAAGTAAAAGTAATTTATTATTTTTTCATTATTCGTTTCACGTTGTAATTCTTCATGTTTTATTGCAGGACATGCAGGGTGTAACCGGTAACCGGAGCATAAATGTAACGTCATATACGAAATACCTGCATGTCCTGCAATAAAACACACATCGAGGAAACAGGGAGGGCGTTCAGTCCACGAAAAAAGGAACATAGAACAGAACACGAGAAGGAAACAGCAAAGGCAAAACACGAGCAACAAAACACAAAGCGGAACAGGAACAACTCAAATCGGCCGTTTCTGACCATTGTAAAAGAGAGAAGCACATTTTGGACTGGAACAGAGCAAACATCACTGGGACAGAGGAAAACAAACATCGTCGTTGGATTAAAGAGGCAGTTGAAATACGGAAACGTGCCCACGGGACGATGAACCGGGACGAGGGGCTTTTTTACTCTCACACACCTGGGATACTGTCCTGAGGAAGTGGGACTGCAGGTGGCGCTGTTGTCCTGCCTCCACCGGTAGGAAAAAAGCGCCAAAACCTGTTTAAATCAACTGAGCGACACGACACAGAAACATCACGTGACTCTGAGGGAGAGCGCTAGTGAGAAGTCGAAACTGTCAGGTATGAAACAAAACTCTAGGTCTGAAAAAAGAACCTAATAACATAATGTGGAATGTTGTTGTTGTGACGTCGTTTGCATCATCTGTGTAGTGAGAGACGATGTTCAGATGTTTCCACTCACTCCATGGTGCCCAGCTTGTTGATCAGCTCCATCATCATGTCCTGCATGTGCGTGTACGGGCCCATTCTGTCAGGGAGGTTGTGGGCCAAATTTGTCTTGACGTACGCGGGACACAGAGCGTTAAAGCGCACGCCGTCCTCCGCACCGAGAGACGCCATCTACACACAAACACAAACACAAACACTCAGCCGGGGTCATCCACAGGTGAAGCTACAGCGCTGGGAAAAAGGATTTACCCCCTTCCTTGTTTCTTACTTTTAAAATTTTTATTTGTTAAGAGAAAAATACTCTCCAAACCAACGACTGATCCAATCTGTGTGTCGTTCGTTCATTTGTTTTTCAAAATAAAACCAACAATAAGAAAAACGAAAAAAACAACTATTTTCTTCTCTTCGTCTCTAAAACCAAAAGGAAAAAAACAGACAAAGATTTATTTATTTATTTTTTTTTCAGTTTTTGATTTTGTGTTTAAATGAAAAATGGAAAAAATGAATAACAGACGTTTCCCGTTTACGTGACTTAAACTGCGATGCCGGACTTTTGAGCCGCATACGGACTGAACCAGGACTGAGACCGAGACCCAGACCAGACCAGACCAGGACCAGACCAGGACTGACACTGGGATCTGGTTTAGTCCTGGTTTAGTCCTGGTTCAGTCCTGGTTTCAGTCCTGGTTTAGTCCTGGTTTAGTCCTGGTTCCTGGTTCAGTCCTGGTTCAGTCCTGGTTCAGTCCCGGTCTGAGTTCTCACCAGTCTATGCAGACATCACAGTTTAAGTCACGGAAACGGGAAACAGTGGTTATCCATTTGTTTTTTTTTGTGTGTGTTTTTTTTTTCCATTTTTCATTTAAACACAAAAATCTGAAACTGAAAAAATGAATCATTATCTGTTTTTTCATTTTAGTTTTGGAGACAAATAATGAAGAAAATAATTGTTTTTTCTAGAGCTGGGCAAAAATAAAATAAATTAATTGCATGAGTTTGAGTGTGATTAATCGCGATTAATCACATGTTATACGCAAAACCAATTAATGAATTAAAAAGTAGAGTATAGCTTCATTTTTATTGGAAATGTAAATGAAAGAGTCAAAAATTTGTTGTGCAAACAGCATTTCTTTCAGAGTGGAACACTCAGAGCCTTCAAGGTATTCTGAAGGATCAAGTAAAAACTACTGAAAGAATTTTTGTACTACTAATATGTTTTTTCAATATTTTTTATTCAGTGAGTAATAAACACGACACTAGTAATAATTTCTAGATCATTGTTATAAACTTGGACTGATATTTCTTGGGAAACAAAGGGTTAATATAATGGAATGAAAATGGACCAGTCACAATTTTTCTTCCAGTGGTTTCTGGGTAAATCAGTGACTCCCCCTGCAGCGCTGAACTAAAGAAACAAGCTCAGCTCAGAGCGCACGGCTGGTCTGGCCGGAGCCGGAGCCCGCGGCCGAACCTGCGGCCGGAGCCGGAGCCCACTTCGGCCACAGGCATGGACACGTTGCATCTCACGTGGTCAGAAAAAAGTACAGAAAGTGTAAAGAAAAGACGTCAAACTTAAAGAAACGCTCGCGGTGGACTTTTTGAAAATAAAAGCCGGTGAGAAACAGATGTTTACAATAAAATAAATAAATAATAAAAACTGTGTTAACGGCGTTAAAATAATTGTCGATAATGACTTAATTAGTTAACACAAAATTAACGCGTAAACGTGCCCGGCCTTGGTTTTATAGTTTTTTTATTTTTGGTTTTATTTTGAAAAAAGAATCAACGAATGATACACGCCCAGACCTCTGGTCAAACTTTGAACATGTTTTTAACCAACTCCCTCACTCTTGCACAAGTAGATCCCCCATTTTTACAGAAACAGCTTTTGGATTATTGTGAAGAAAACTATTAAAACTAACTTCTGCTGTGCAAAGTTCATAGATAATTAACATAAAGATCTGATCCGGTTCTGGGGATGTTTTTTAGTCGGTTCAGTGTAATTCACTCACTGCCATTGCTCTGGTGAAGCCCACAACTCCATATTTGCTGGCAGTGTAGACGGGACTGTAGGGCATCGGCTCAAGACCTGTGAGAAAAACAGAATATTTAAGAGGACGTGTTTTACTTCTGACACATTTACACACATTTACATCACTACTTTACCTTCCATTGTTTTGAAAATGCTGCATGTGTGTGTATGTGTGTGTGGGAGTGTGTGTGTGTGTGTAACATAAATCCACAGTGTGCTGAGTGCTGGAGCAGTGCATTGTGGGACAGGACCTGCCATAGATACAGTGTTAATGATGACCCCTCCATGACCTTTGCACAGTTTGCTCATGTGCTCCAGACCGAGGTACGACACTCGAATCATCCCCATCTGAAACACAGTCACACAGTCTGAAACACAGTCACACAGTCTGAAACACAGTCACACAGTCTGAAACACAGTCACACAGTCTGAAACACAGTCACACAGTCTGAAACACAGTCACACAGTCTGAAACACAGTCACACAGTCTGAAACACAGTCACACAGTCTGAAACACAGTCACACAGTCTGAAACACAGTCACACTGTGAGTGTGAAACACAGTCACATTCAAACCCGACTCTTGTCCTCACCAGGTTGATGGACACCGTCTTCTCCCACTGAGTCTCGTCAAAAACTCCAGCGTTGTTACAAACAATGTCCAGTTTTCCAAAAGTCTCCACGATTTTCTGAAAAGCAGCTGGAAAAACAACAAAGACTTAGGGCCCTAATACAACAAATCTGCCAGCAGGGGCCGCTGGAGGCCGGAGTGGAACAGTATCATGTACATGTTGAGGACATCCAAACCAATCTGTGACCCCTGTGGCATTTCACATCACTGCCAGTGAGGGGATCTGCTGTCAGTCAAGCAGCAAAGAGCAGTGTGGGACATTAGGGAAAAAAAATAAAAAATATGCATGGGCACAAAAAAAACCAAAACGATCCGGGCCCCACGACGTACGTCTACACCAGTAGAGGCGTCAGGATTATAGGATTTTGGATGGTCCGTCACAGAAGTGGTTGGACTTGTGGAGGTGCGCCCCTCTCACGTGCACGCCCCTGTGGGTCCATGCACACTCATGTCAATCATAGTTTTCTCTGTGTTCCTCCGTCGTTCTTTTGTCTCCCATTACGGAGCAGACCAGTGGCTTTCTTGTGCACTCCCCATCCCACATCAGACCCCCTGATCTCCTCTCCCCCCTGGTCACACCTGCTCCCACCTGTGCTCTCCTGACAGTCCTCTCCCGCCCGTCCTGGGCCAACCTTGAATATTTTACATGAGGTTTTTGAGTGGAAATTCAGGCTCGGCAAACCTCTGGTTTAGAACCCCACACAACCCCACACCTGCACTCCCACAAACACCGAAGGCAAAATATGACTCAGTCTGAAAGTTGGAGTGTGAGTGGCTCCTCTGGTTTTGCTCTCTGCCTGCTCCTGCTGGCTCCTGTCTGCTCCTGTCTGCTGCTCTCTGCCTCTGCTGTCTGCCTGCTCTGCTCCTGTCTGCTCTGCCTGCTCCTGTCTGCTCCTGTCTGCTCCTGTCTGCTCCTGTCTGCTCCTGTCTGCTCTTAGATGATGATGATGTTTAGTTTTACCTTTCAGTTGTTCTTCAGACTGAACGTCACATTCAATAAATAAAGTTTTGTCTTTTCCAAACTTTTCCTCCAGATTTTCCACTAAACTCGTCCCGGCTGCTGCGCTCACGTCCAACAGCGCCACCTGCAGACACAAGCAGAGCACTGTCATTATCAACACACGCCACCATCAGCTTGAACACACGACACACAGCAGATTCTGTGTCTGAGCAGTTTGAGGAGAGGAACAGTCCTCTGGACAAAAGTGTCCTCAGCAGGAGCCAGGTGAACAACAACATGCAGGTCTCTTCTAAACTTCACTCTCACTCTGCTCTGGGGTTGGTAATGAAATGGTCCATTCCCTCGAAGTATTCTCTAGAACAGGGAGTCAAACTCAAATTCACAGAGGCCAAACTTAAAAACTGGTACTAAGTCATGGGCCAAATTAAATATTTATCGAAAAATTTCAAACATCTGCATGTTTTTTGTTCTTTTGAGATATGTAATGTTAAACCTTTTCTTATTAAAATAAATGTTTAATAATAGTTTTGCTTAAACATTGAATCCAGAACAAGCAGAATATAAAATAATAACACAATTTTAAATAAATAATGTTTTTTAGCCTATCCTTAGCGGGCGGGCAGCTCTAATACAGATTTGATATGATCTCACGGGACAAATATATTTATATCACAAAACCACATGAACACGACACATCAGAACACGAGTGATGCACAAATGTAGAAGTTTATCTTGGATCTTCTCCTCAGCTGAGGCAGTGTCCATGTTTTTGTTCATTTTTGTCCACAATGATCACCTTGGTCTTCTTGATGTTCAGAACCAGGTTATTGTTGTAACACCATGATGCTGTGTTACTACTACTACTACTACTACTACTACTACTACTAATATTATAACTACAACAACTACTACTCCAACAACCAGGGCAGTTTTAGTTTTCAGAATTGGACCCTCTTTCTATTCATTTACATTAGACAGGGGCCAATGTACTGTAAGACTTCTTGCCCTGGGCCCCCAAATTTTTGGCGAGGAGAAAATTCAGTTTGTCGACTGGACAAAAATTTGTTTGGTTGAAGACATTTCGCAGCTCATCCAAGCTGCTTCTTCAGTTCTGGTCAGACGCTGGTGGATACTTCCTTATATCTATCTGCAGGGAGGAGCTAACTACACTGAAACTACTCTGAAACTAACACACACACTTGTTTACAGTTTCTGTTTGTTAGTTCGGCCTGTTGACCTGTACTATGTGTGGGGTCTAATTAGCAGAACAATTCATGGCCATAATGGAGCTTCCACACCTCTGGACCTGACCTGACTACACCTGTTGTTCTCGTTTGTTTTGATTTAGGTTTGAGGATGGAGTTGTAAACAGGAGATAGATGGTGTCTGAGGCCTCCATTTCTGTTTAGAGAAGGATTCTCTTTCTTAACAAAAATGGCTTCTTTCATTCTTCTCTCAAACCAATTCTTCTCTCTGGCTAAAATCTGTACCTCACCGACCTCAAATGAGTGACCTGAGGCTTTTCGGTGAAGATGAACAGCAGACTGAGGTCCTGTGTTGTTCTTTCGTCTGTGTCGGTTCATCCTTTTGTGAAGTAGCTGTTTAGTTTCTCCAGTGTAGCGTTCACTTCAGTCTTCACTACACTGAATGCAGTAGACCACATTGCTTTGTTTGTGTCTCGGTGTTTTGTCCTTTGGTTGGACCAGTTTCTGTCTTAAAGTGTCCGTTGGTTTGAAATAGACCGGGATCTCATGTTGTCTGAAAATCCTCTGTAGTTTTTCAGAAACACCAGCCACGTAGGGAATAGTTAACCCCTTTTCTCCTGGGTTCTGATTCTCTGTTGTCTTGTTTTTGTTTTTGTTAGTTTTTTTTAGGGATAACTATTCCTTACATGGCTGGTGTTTCTGTTGACCAGCCTGACAACAACAACAACAACAACAACTACTACTACTACTACTACTACTACTACTACTACTACTCCTACTACTACTACTACTACTACTACTACTACTACTACTACTACTACTACTACTACTACTACTACTCTTACTCCTACTACTCCTACTCCTGCTGCTACTACTACTACTACTACTACTACTACTGCTACTACTACTACTACTACTACTCCTACTACTACTACTACTACTACTACTACTACTACTACTACTACTACTACTACTACTACTCCTCCTACTACTACTACTACTGCTACTCCTACTCCTACTATTACTTCTACTCCTACGCCTGCTGCTACTACTACTACTACTACTACTACTACTACTACTACTACTACTACTACTACTGCTGCTACTACTACTACTACTACTACTACTACTACTACTACTACTACTACTACTACTACTACTACTACTACTACTACTACTACTACTACTACTACTACTACTACTACTACTACTCCTACTACTACTCCTACTCCTGCTGCTACTACTACTACTACTACTACTCCTACTACTACTCCTACTCCTGCTGCTACTACTACTACTACTACTACTACTACTACTACTACTACTACTACTACTACTACTACTCCTACTACTACTCCTACTCCTACTCCTACTCCTGCTGCTGCTGCTGCTACTACTACTACTACTACTACTACTACTCCTGCTGCTACTGCTACTACCACTATTACTACTACTACCGCTACTACTACTACTACTACTACTACTACTACTACTACTACTACTACTGCTGCTGCTGCTGCTACTACTACTACTACTACTACTACTACTACTCCTGCTGCTACCGCTACTACCACTATTACTACTACTACCGCTACTACTACTACTACTACTACTACTACTACTACTACTACTACTCCTGCTGCTGCTGCTGCTACTACTACTACTACTACTACTACTACTACTACTACTACTACTACTACTACTACTACTACTACTACTACTACTCCTGCTGCTACTACTACTACTACTACTACTACTACTACTACTACTACTACTACTACAAGTAGTAATAGTAGTAGTTCTAAGCACAGCTAGGAGTTGAAAAGACATAATGTAAATAATGAAAATTATTTTTACAAGTATTTGAAAACACTGCTGCTGCGCCTTGAACCTGAGCCCAGCCTTGTCGTTCTTTTTAGACAGATTATCTGTGCACTTCAGTGATATTCAGTAACATGATCTGATGACATCTTTTTTCACCCAAATGCTAAAATAAAACAGATTTAACTAAAGACTGTGACTGTTCACATATGTAACTCTGTGGTGCACTGGAAAGGATTTACTTTCCTGTCCTGATCTGACCCTGTGTCACCGTTTCACAAAAGATATGTACATGTATATCTTTCTCATGCAACAACAATCCCATCTGCACTTTAATAAAAAAAATAAAATAAAAATAAATTACATATATATCTCTCTGATGCAACAACAATCCCATCTGCACTTTAATTAAAATAATAATAATAATAATAATAATAATAATAATAATAATAATATAATATATATATATTTTTAAAAGAATTGTAGATATATATGTCTCTGATGCAACAACAATCCCATCTGCACTTTAATTAAAAAATAAAAAATAAAATAAATTACATATATATCTCTCTCTGATGCAACAACAATCCCATCTGCACTTTAATTAAAATAATAATAATAATAATAATAATAATAATAATAATAATAAATATATATTTTTTTAAAAGAATTGTAGATATATATATATATATGTCTGATGCAACAACAATCCCATCTGCACTTTAATTAAAATTAATAAATAAATAAATAATATATATTAAAATAATAATAATAATAATAATAATAATAATAATAATAATAATAATAAATAAAAGAAATATACATATGTATCTCTCTGATGCAACAACAATCCCATCTGCACTTTATACTGTATATACCTTTGTTGTTTTGTAGTTATGTTTCTGTAACAATAATTAAATAAATAATAATATATATAAAATTTAAAAAAAAAGAAAAGATATGTACATATATATCTCTCTGATGCAACAACAATCCCATCTGCACTTTAATAAAAAAAATAAAATAAATAAAAATAAAAAATAATAATAATATTAATTAATTAATTAATAAAAAGAAATGTACATATATATCTCTCTGATGCAACAACAATCCCATCTGCACTTACTACAGTAATTAAAAAATAAAAATAAAATAAATAAATTTAAATAAATAAAAAAAAAAAAAAAAGAATACTTGGAGAGACCCGCAGGGGGCGCTGTCTCCCCCCGCGCACACTCTGGCGCACGCAGCGGGAGGAGGGACACTTCCGGCCCGGTAACAGTCGTCAGGGGGACCGCGCTCAGGAGGAGGAAGAAGAGGAGGAGGATTTTTCTGCTGTTTTTACTCACTTTTGTGCGGTTCCTCCTTCACAGCGGACTCCCAGGCGCCCGCACAGGCCCAGGACCGGACAGGACCGTCGCTTTGGCGCAGTTTGACCGTCACTTTGGCGCACGGCAGCTGGAGGTTCAACATGACCCACCAGGCTGCGGCTCTACAGACCTACAACAACGAGCTGGTCGAGTGTGAGACATTTAACTTCTGATTTAACACTGACTTAACACTGATTTAACCTCCTGCAGAGAGTTGAGAAGCGCTTTACTGTCCGTCTGTGACGTTCAGGGTTTGTCCGGTGTTTACAAACAAAGTGCTGCTGCTAGAGATGTAACAATAACCAAACTATTGTGATATGTTGTCAGAAGTTCTCACAGTAATATCGTGGACCATCACAATATATCGAATTACAAGTCTCTTTGCTTAAATAAAGAGTTATGGTGCAGCAACAGCTAAAAAAATACAGAAGAACTACATAGACCATGATCCTTTGCTCCATTTCAGTGCAGACGACAAGAAGAAATAACAGTTCTAACACTTTTAAGTCTTAGTTCTTTGGATTAAGTCTTGTCAAGGCATTTTAAGAGGAAAAAGAAGCATATTCACAGTTTTGTTTGTTTAGCCTCCACAAAATATCACAATAAATATCATGCCGTGAGATGTAAATCGTGAAAATATCGTACAGAGAGTTTTGGATATTGTTACATTCCTAATCGTGAGCACCCCCATCTTATCATGAGCTTTCACACAATATCGCAATAAATATTGTACCGTGAGGTTCATACCGTGACTAGTGATGGGCATTCGATAAAATTTTCTTAATCGATTGTTGGGAGAATTAACGATTGATTAATCATTAAAGTTTTTATATTAAAATTGTCATCATTATTATTACTATCTGCACTAATCTGCATAAATAAATTCAACTTTACGACATATAAACATAATGACTCTAGAGCCACATCAACCCGTTTGACATTATAATGTGTTTAATTCAGTTTTGTTCAACTCTCACAGAAACAAAACTTAAAACCACATCACTAATTTGCATAAACTAAGCGAAGGAGAAAAAAAAACTGCTCTTGTGTTGCGGATTAAAGGACACGACTCAGGTGAATACAGGTTAGTGTGACCAGATTTGTGTTTGTCAAAACCAGGACACCGTACGGGGGGAGGGAGGCGGGGACTCGTCATCGACATTGCGCGACTCTCACCTGGTAAAACTTTTTCATGTTTTCTGTGTCCTGGTGAACTTTTTTTCCACTGGACACTGAAACATATCTGCTTGCTTTGTGCACGTGGACTCACACTTGTCCCGACTGGAACGGAAAGTGTGTAATTTCTTGTACAAATCATCGTTAAATCCACATTTGTGCTTCGGTACGTTGCAGACTGACCCACTGTTTGTGTCTCGCTCCTTCTGAGTTACAGAGAGCTACATGTCGGGACTCCTGTTTGGTCACGCTACGCACAGCAACCTACATTTGGTTTGTCGATGAAAATGAACGTAATGATGAAATTCTTAATGATCAATTATTGATTAATCGACTAATCATGACCATCCCTAACCGTGACAGTATTGTATTATTACATGTGGATATTGTTACACCCCTAATAGAAAGAGAAAGTCTTCATCATGTTCATAGCATCATAACAATTGTGTATCATCATTCACTCCCAGTTCTCTCAGCATCTTAAAAACACCATCCTCAAAATCATTATTTAGTTCATTCACTCCAGAGCATCACTGTCTCTTCACTCTCCAGACACGCCTCAGTCCACACTCCGGGCGCAGGTTTGGTTTGAGAGGAGCCACTGTTTCTCCAGGAGTGAGAAAGTGCCGTAGTTTGTCCATGTGATCAGCTCCGTCGGTGACACGTTCCACTGACGGACGCCGCGCATGAAAAGGCTGAGTTTACAAATGCCGTCGTGCGTTTGTGGATCCCGCTCTCGCCGCGCTCAGTGGGTCGAGCGGCTCGGGAGCAGGTCGGGAGCGTCGGAGCAGGTTTCAGAGCTCAGAGAAGCAAAATGTTTCAGCGGACGAGCAGCAGAATGATCACGAATGATCTTAAACAGCAGACAAACATTTGCATCATGATCAGGTTTTCAGAACTTCAAATACTGTGTTTCACAAGAACATGACAGTGGTGGAAGAGCCGACTTTTCCTGTCATGGGTCTTGAGAGGCTTTTATATAATGATTCTCAATCCGTGTATGATTCGTTCATTCATTTTTAAATATAAAACCAAAAATAAGAAAAAGAAAAAAACAACTATTTTCTTCATTATTTGTCTCTAAAACCAAAATGAAAAAACAGATAATGATTTGTTTTTTCAGTTTTCGATTTTGTGTTTAAATAAAAAATGGAAAAAACGGATAACGACCGTTTCTCGTTTACATGACTGCGATGCCGGACTTTTGACCTGCGATCCAGGTCCAGGACCAGAGTGGACTCCAAGCCTCCACGGGGTCCAAACCGCAGCTTCGAGCTCCAACCCTGTCGTGGACTCTGAGCCTCCAGTCTGGTCCCGGTCTGGTCCCAGCCTGGTCTCGATCTCAGTCCCGCTCTGGTCCTGGTCTGGTCCCGGCCTGGTCTCAGTCTCGGTTTGGTCCCGGTCTGGTTCTGGTCTGGTCCTGGACCTGGATCAGTCCTAGTTCAGTCCGTATGCAGTGCAAAAGTCCGGCATCTCAGTCACAGAAGTCACGGAAACGGGAAACGGCCGTTATCCGTTTTTTCCATTTTTCATTTAAACACGAAATCGAAAACTGAAAAAACAAATCATTATCTGTTTTTTCATTTTGGTTTTGGAGACAAATAATGAAGAAAACTGTTGTTTTTTCGTTTTCTTATTTTTGGTTTTGTATTGAAAAATGAATGAACGAATGATACACGGATTAATCTCGACGCCTCAGAGCTGATTTACAAACCTGTGACCAACTTGTTCTACAGTAAAGAAAGTGTGGAATTATCATTTTATCTAGAGGCACCTGAGGCTTCAGTGGTCCGGGAGTTTCTGATGTGTCTGAAATTGGCCATGTCGAATTTTATGATATTTGTTAACATTTTAAGGTGCGTTTTAAAACATAAATTTGGTTCCACAATAAGTCGTAGATATTTCACCTGATCAACATTATTCATTTTCTGCCCTTCTGTCAGAATTTCAGGGTAGTGTTGAAGTTTGAGAGGAGGTAGTTACAAATGAAGTGCTGCTGGTGATAATAATCTGCATGTATTTTTTTTTTTATATGTAGCACTCCTCTTTTCTGCTCTTCTCTCTCACCCTCCTAAAACAATGTTCCCAGACGTCCCTTTTTACCAGGGACAGTCCCAATTTTGAGCCCCTGTCCCAGCAAATTTATCCAAAACCAGTGATTAGTCCCGGTTTTATACAAGAAATGTCCCCGGTGTCCCTATTTTTGACCAATCTGATCCCTGCCAACAGTAAAGAGAGACACACATTATCATTTGTTTAGGTAAAATACTGAAAAGTTGCTTAAAAATGACCAAAACACAAAGTAAATGTGACTATAGTGACTCACATTAGAGCCAAGTGCAGAACAATTCTCCTTAATTACTTGTTTCTCTCGTTTCACAGTTTTATCATTTCCAGCCACCACAAACCGAGGACGTCCCAGTTTTTTTATTTTGAAAATCTGGTCCCATTATCCTAAAAGCCTCTTAGTCTGAGAGCAGTGAAGGATCTAATTCAATCTGATTAAGGCTTTTAACTCCGTAGTCCCGGCGTCTCCTGCTCTTTGTGATCAGTTTTGTATTTGGACACTGATGTAAAATCAGAATAGTTAAGTGTTTCACGGAGGCCTGTCACGATAATTACAATATTGACTTATTGTTCAGTGTGTCAAAGCTGGATCAAGTTAGTTTTGGGTTAAATATTTATCGTGTGCACATTTTCTTTGCACCACTGATACTGGTACTGTTGGTTATTTTTTGTTTAAATTATGAAGTTTAAGCTGTAAAAGTTTGAATCAATAACTTCTATGACTCATTACATCTACAAATATCTAATAATATGTTTGATTTTATTTATTTGTTGCAGCTGATGATTTTTTTAAAGAATAGTGAACATTTAGAATAGGTTTTTGGTTTACAGTCGTCACCTTTCGTAGTCTCGCTGTTTTGCAGATTTTTTAGTACAATTTTGCATGACTTTTTTTTTTTTACAGTGTATAAAGGCACATTGTGTTCCTCCCCCTGCGTCCTGATTGGCTGTAGATCACTGTCAATCAGTCTCCTCCATGCCGTCTCTCCTGTACAGTACAGAATGTGTTCAGTTTAACAAATGTACATAAATGTTGGATCTGTATCAGTGTGATTCTGAAGTGCTGTGTGTTTGTGAGTTTTCTCCTCGACAAAAAACACAATAACGATAAAGTCTCCTGCGCTCGCTCCCAAAAGACAGAGGAAGACGTAACTATCGCACAAAAAGTTGGACTTCTGGACACGCTGAAGGAAGAGAGAAGTGACACGCTGCATGTGTCAGAGTCCTGCACCTGGTCGGATACGGGCAAATAGTTGCTGAAACGGGCGAGTTTTAACTTTCTGGAATTTTAAGGGCAGGTAGTGATTACACACGGGCGGGTCGGGAGGACTGAACCAGGTCTGAACCAGGTCTGAACCAGGTCTAAACCAGGTCTAAACCAGGACTACACCAGGTCTCACCAGGACTACACCAGGTAAAACCAGGTCTACACCAGGTCTACACCAGGACCAGGACTACAACCAGGACTACACCAGGACTACACCAGGTCTACACAGGACTACACCAGGTCTACAGGACTAAACCAGGACTACACCAGGACTTCACCAGGACTAGGACTCACCAGGACACACCAGGTCTACACCAGGACTACCCAGGACTACACCAGGACTTCACCAGGTCTACCAGGACTAAACAGGACTAACCAGGACTAAACCAGGACTAAACCAGGACTAAACCAGGACCAGGACTACACCAGGTCTACACCAGGACTTCACCAGGACTAAACCAGGTCTAAACCAGGTCTAAACCAGGACTAAACCAGGACTAAACCAGGACCAGGACTAAACCACACCAGGTCTACAGGTCTACAGGACTACAGGACTACCAGGACTACACCAGGACGGACTACAGGACTACACCAGGACTACACCAGGTCTAAACCAGGACTAAACCAGGACTAAACCAGGACTACACCAGGACTAAACCAGGACTAAACCAGAACTGAAACAGGACTCACTGTCGGGACGGACTCGGAGGTGACCGCAGGAGAAAAGACCGGCTCAGTTCCGCACCGCCGGCCATCGCCCGATCGCGCTTTGCAGACACCCTGCTCCGCGGAGTCAGGGTTCTCTCTCTTAAGTCCTGGTTTAGACCTGGTTTAGTCCTGGTTTAGGTCCTGTTTTAGTCCTAGTTCAGTCCTGGTTTAGTCCTCTTCAATCCTGGAATCAGTCCTGGTTTACTCTTTGTTCAGTCTGTGGCGTTTGCAGCTCAAAAGTTTGATAAAATCTCGGGTTAACGGGCGGGTGTGGTCCTGTACTGTTTGGGTGCGGGTCTCCAAAACTGGACCCGTGCAGGACTCTGCGCTGTCGGCTCCATTACAGAATAAATGAATCTTCAGTTCGTTACATAAAGAAGAAAATAACAAAAAGGACGACAGCAGCAATAAGTTTAAAGAAGGATGTAAAACGTGTTGTAACTGTCCTGTGTGAGAAAAGTGTATCAAGTTTGTGCTGAGGGGTTTTACAGCCTTAACACAGATAGAATAATTGTAAAATATAAAGCTGACTACTTCATGGATTTCACCTATCGTGGATTATTTTCAGAACGTGACCCCCGCGATAAACGAGGGACCACTGTATTGTGTCAGTAGCATAAACATCTTACATTATATTGTTTGTGTGTGTGTTTTAGGTATCGAGGACTTGTGCTCGAAGCGTGAGGAGCTGAACCGTCAGATCCAGCAGGAGGAGGAGGAGAAGGAGCGGCTCCAGCACGACATCCGCGTCCTGTCCGAGAAACTGAGCCGCGTCAACGAGAGCCTGGCACAGAGACTGGCAGCGCGCGCCACCTTCGACCGCACCATCGCCGAGACCGAGGCTGCGTACTCCAAGGTGAGAAACAACAGAGTGAATACACGCATCACGAATTTCGGACTTCCGATCATGGCGCCATTCATACTGGGAAGGATCCTCAGAAAAAGTGAGCATCAAACCTCCATGTTTGTTTTCCCAGTGGGATGTGTCTATTGTCAAAGTCGATCTTTTCAAGTCTTTTGAACCATATCACTTTTGTTTCTGGTTCTGATATTGTTTAGTTTTGGGATTCGGACGTCGTAATTGTGTGGTTGTTGGATCCTAACAGAGGAAAACGGCTCGAGAAATGGCCTTCGGAAGTTTGTGAACTCCATAACTGCAAAAGTGAATCAGATGTGTGTGACTCAAACCTCTGTTCAAACTGTTTCTCTTCCCAACGGAATTGAAAAATAGTGAAAGGTGAAGGTGATGGGCAGGATTGATTCACAGGAAGAACCAAAAAGGAAACATTTGTCTGACTAAGAAATCATCCTGAAATCATCCAACAATCACACAATTATGATGTTCGAATCCGAAAACTAAAATATGACAATATCAGAACCAGAAACAAAAGTGATATGGTTCAAAAGACTTGAAAAGATCGACTTTGACAATAGACACATCCCACTGAGAAAACAAACATGGAGGTTTGATGTTCACTCTTTCAGAAAATCCTTCCCAGTATGAATTGCGCGATGACCAGAAGTCCAAAATTCGCGGATTCATGAATACCAAGGTGAGGAGGCGTTGGCTCTGGATAAAAGACTAGAGTGTTGCATTTATGAAATCAGTGAAACGCTACAGAGAACACAGAATTTTATTTCTGCATGAAACATTTTGAACTCTGAAAAAAAAAAAGACACTTGGTTGACGCTTTCAAATGAAATACTCAGTGTCTATTTGAGTTTTTGTAGGAAATAAAAATCCAAACTTAAATTATCCACCCACACTGAACCAAAAACATGTCTGCTTCTGTGTTCCATCACTTTATCCCATGTACGAGTCTGATCAGCCATGAAAGCAAATTAATCTGCTCACGTAGTATTAAACGTTCTGTTTTCTTCAGAAACTTTTCTTTTCTTAGATTCATCATTTACTACGAGGGGTTGAAAAGCTCAATAAATCGTGCTGCTGGTGTTGGTGCCGGTGACACTTTGAGCGACAAAAATATTAAAAATGTTTTATTTGAATGTTACAGCATTACCATTATCTACATATTTGGAATTACATTTAAAAATGACCAAAAAACATTGTAATTAAATACTCTTTATTTATTTTCCAAAGTCACAGGGAGCCACAACAGAAGCATGAAAGAGCCACATGTGGCTCTGGAGTTGTCGAGTTGCTCTAGACTTAAGGAAAAACTGTACATGAAGTTTTATTGTGACTCTTTTGTGCAGCACTTGGGCTGCAGTGGATGTCTAAAAACCACAGCCACTCATTTTATTTGCCCTTTGCTTTTTACTGTAGCATGTTTCATTTTCACTCATCAGCTGACAAAAACTCTGTGTCTTTGTTGGTGTAACTGAGCGTGTGAGGAGGACGACTCCCAGCATGCCTCTGTGCTCACAGGAAAGTTATTAAAGAACAACAGAGCAGAATGTAAACAAACTGCCCTGCTCCTCCTCAGAGACAACAGCCTCCACTCAGCTCTCACTTATAATAATAATAATAATAATAATTTATTATTATGACTATATCTATAACCAACGTGAGGGCTGCACTGTGTATCATAATCACAAAGGACGCAGTTATTTAGAAAACAGAACAGTCCTTTACAGTGATCAAAATATCCTGTCTTTTTATAGAGAAATCAATTTCAAATCGATTTCCATTAGTCCAGGGGCAGTTTGTGAAGACAGTTTGAAGAGTAGCAGTAGCAACAATCTGTGTTTTTTATACACTAAAATCTAGACCAGACATGTCAAACTCTGGCCCAGGGACCAAATCTGTATCAGAGCTGCCCACCGGATACAGATCGACTATAGAGACATTATTTATTTAAAATGTTGTTATTATTTTATATTCTGCTTGTTCTGGATTCAGTGTTTAAGCAAAACTATTATTAAACATTTATTTTAATAAGAAAAGGTTTAACATTACATATCTCGAAAGAAGAGAAAACATGCAGATGATGATGAAATTTTTAAATAAATATATAATTTGGCCCAAGACTTAGTCCCAGTTTTTAATTTTGACTTCTGTGAATTTGAGTTTGACTCTCCTGATCTAGACAGTTTACATAAAAATACATTTGCACACTCACCTTCCACGGTGGTTGGTCTCACCCTCATCCAGCTCAGGTCGTCTACCAGAGTCCTGGGAGTCTGAGAGTTCTTCAGTATCTTTGCTGTTCTCAGTCCTGCACTTTTCTGGACTGAGATGTTCTGTTGTTTTTCTTGGTATCTGTTGTAGTCTCTTCCAGTTTGGGGGTTACAGCCCCGAGTGTCCGATCACCACAGACTCCACTGATGCCTTTACTTTCCAGGCTCTCTCCAGCTCCTCCTTGAGCCCCTGGTATTTCTCTAGTTTCTCGTGTTCCTTAAAGGTTGTATGGAGGATTTTTTTTAGTTTCAAACCGTCAGTGAAAGATTAAAATACCATTACAGAGACGCAGCAGCTTTGTAATTATGATGACCAAAAAAAAAAAAGAACGAAAATCTATCAACTGTGGACGTAGTGAGGCCAGATAAACATCAGCCAATAGAAAACGAGGCTCCCTCAGTTTCTATTGGCTGTTAGGTTGTCAATCAAACTCCCTAGTGTAACTGACTCGTCGGAGCGCGGGGATTACGTGGTTTACGCAGCGGTTCTTAGAGGCTTTTTCGAACTGTCGCTTCCTCGCATTTCGCACAAAGTTTGTCGCGACGGCGGACGAGAATCCACGACCGGTTCGCCGCAAAAGAAAGTCCGTTTTTGAGGTCGCTGAAAGAAGAAGAGAAGAGGAAAAGGAGCAAAGCCAAACTGAGGTGATTCTTGGAGATCTCATTCAACGATGGCGCAACTGAAACAGACGAAGGGTCTAAAAACTGACGCGTCGGTCGCTGAATTACTTCTAGACAGGAAACTTCAACGGTAATTCTGAATGCGCACAAGGACTGTCGCTGTATTTCTCTTCCCTTAAAAAAATCCTCTATACAACCTTTAATCCTGATATTACCATCTCTTGGTGTTGCGATGTCCACCACCACATTTATTTTTTTCCTTCGGTGTCTGTTAAAAGTATCAAACTAGATTCTGAGTTGAGCGGGTGTCAGCACTAGAAATGTCACATAAAGAGAACAAAAATTAACCATTGTTGATCTTGAGCATTTTTATTCATCACTGATTTCAAGTAGAGAGTCTGTTCTTTAGTATTGAAATCGAGTTTGAAATCGTCTGAAGAATCGTCTGTCTGATTCTGACTGTGCTTCCGTTTTGGTCCCGTCAGATCCTGGAGAGCTCCCAGTCCCTCCTGAGCGTCCTGAAGCAGGAGGCGGGAAACCTGAGCCGAGCCACCGAGCCCAGACGCAAAAAACAGTGATGTTTACGGAGGCCCCTGAACACCACACGCACTCATCTTCATCATCATCTATTTATGTATTTAACTCTTTTCAATGTTTTTGTGCTGTTTGACAAACTACATTCCAAATAAAATGGTTTAGTAAAAATAATGTGTGATTCTGTCCCTCTCCGCTGCTTCTGAATAAACACACTGACACCGAAACTTGGTCCAAACTGTGAAAAATCAAACAGTGAATTCCAGTTTGTTCAAGTGGATTTATTCAGCTTTCATTTATACACATTTTGACATCACTTTTCTTTTTTTTTTTAATTTGCCCAAAATCATTGACAACATTTTTACAGTAAGCACATCTGCTGCGATGTAGATTTACAGAAGAGGGAGAGAGGAGAGGAGCCACACACTCACGTACAAACACACACACAGACCCACACCGAGCGCTCGAACGTCCCACTGTGTACAGGTCAGTGAACGCACCGGCCGCAGGAAGAGCTTTAGTCCACGACGGGTGTTAGAGACCAGATTAAACTTAAACTGACCACACCAAGGACAGAGTTTTTAACTGCAACACATCTGTAGTTAGTTGTGGGTCTGATCCAAGTTTGGGTCTAGTTTATATTTTTGTTTACATCCATTACATATGATGATTATTTTACTTATGATTATTGTTTAAACTACTTATTTAATGTCACACTGAAAGAAAATCTAATTGCTCTGAGTCTTTGCCCATTAGTCGCTCTGAGGGCAATTGTTGGGGGGCCCCAGGCAACGACCTACTTTTGCCTAATGCAGACATGTCCAAACTATGGCCTGTGGGCTAAATGCGGCTCTCAGACCAATTTGTCTTGGCCCTCAGGCTTCCAGGTGAATTGGCCCAAATGATCTTGCATCAATTAAAAATAAACCTTAAAAATCAACCTTGATAAAGCCAATATTTAATATTTATTGTGTGGTTTTAAGGATCTTAGTGTAAATAAACACTGACGGCTCATTCTAACATGTTTAAACCTGCACATATTTAAATTATTCACTGTATTGAGCATCAGTCTAGGGCCCTCTGCTTCGTCTGTGTTTAGATATGTGGCCCTTGATGAAAAAAGTTTGGACACCCCTGGCCTAATGGTACCACCGCCTCCGATTATAGCACAGGTGTCACCAACATGGCGCTCTTTGGGCTGTCCCAGTAGCACTTAAAACTTTAGAAAAGTTATTTTTGGAATCAGATTCTTGAAAATGTTGTGTTTTTTGTTGTTGTGATGTGATAATGGTTAATGCTCTACAACTTAACAGTTTAAATTTGACTCTTTTAGATAGATTTCTGAACTGGTCGCCCTTGAACTTAACTTAAAGCTCTTAAAGTGGCCCTTGGGAAAACCCTAGACTAAAACATTTCTGGATAAATGAGCGATTATTATTGACATTTTCGAAAGTAGAAGGAGCTCCTCACTTTGGGTTTTCAGATCCTTCGTCTCCCGTCGTGAATCCAGTCGGCTCTAAACCCCAAAGCGCTCGATACGTCCTTGTGTTGTTTTTTTTCCACAAACGGCGAGCGAAAAACGAACACAAGCGAATCACCGTGGCTCCTCCCCCTCCGTCCGTGGCCCCTCCCCTCCCTCTCTGTGTGCAAAACGAAGCTAGAACATAACAGTGCAAAGACGTTTTTACCTGTGGACAAACGCAGACTATTCAAATCTCAAACACATACGATCCAAGTTTTAAAAAAGACATCCAGTCTGAAAGTATCAACATATGGACAGAGCTGTACAACAATACTGGTGCGAGAGCCGAGCGGGAGTACAAATCATGGGTTGGCATTCGTCATGAGTAAAAAAAAAAAAATCTCGGTGCATCATTGAATACATATAAAAATCATAATGTTAAAAACTCATTCTGTCATTTTTAAATACACGCCGTCTTGCATTCACTCACAGTCATGCCCAAGGTACAGAGTGGCATATCCAGCAAAGTCTGTTACACTAAAAAATTACAAAAAACTTTAAATCAAAATATATTTCTCCATGTGAGTAGTTTTGACTCGTTTAAATGTATTTACTCGAAGAGGGGGCATCACCGTGTTTCCTTTTGTCGTTTTGAAAATGCAAAACTCGCCCCAAACGATGCATTAACGAGTTTTACACGTTTCACTTTTGGTCCTGACACTTTGTACCCGCTCCCCTTGCTCCCTGCGCAGGTCGCTCCCCCTTCAGAGCGCTGTCAAAACACAATCAGAGTGCGTCCTGCGAGTGAAACCGCCGCACGTCGCAACAGGTTTGTGAAGTTGTAGTGTGCAGTTTTGTGTCATGTTTTTGTTTACAGTCGTCCCTCGCTGTAACGTGGTGGAAACTGTCGCTGAAATGGGCGGGTTTTAATGTTCTGGAATGTTACGGGTGGGTCAGGACTAAATCAGGACTAAACCAGGACTAATCTTGGACTTAAGAAAGAGAAAGCTGAACCTGTGGAGCGGGGCGTCCGCAAAGGGCAATCGGGTGACGGTTGCGCTTAAGACCGCGGTCTTTTCGCCCGCGGTCACCTAAAAACCAGACCGGACCAGAGCGGAACCAGACCGGGACTGAGACCGAGACCAGACCGGGGCCCAGACCGGGACTGAGATCGGTACCAGACAGAGACCAGACCGAGACCAGACCGGAGACTCAGAGCCCGGAACTCGAAGCTGAGGCTCGGACCCTACGGAGGCTCGGAGTCAAAGCTCGAAATCGGCTCTGGTCCCGGACCTGGATCAGTCCTGGTTCAGTCCGTATGCAGTGCAAAAGTCCGGCAACACAGTCACGGAAGTCACGTAAACGGGAAACGGTCGTTATCTGTTTTTTCCATTTTTCATTTAAACACAAAATCGAAAACTGAAAAAAACGAATCATTATCTGTTTTTTCATTTTGGTTTTGGAGACAAATAATGAAGAAAATAGTTGTTTTTTCATTTTCTTATTTTTGGTTTTACTTTGAAAAACGAATGAACGAATGATACACCGATTAAAGTAAGTTAAAATACTTTGCAGATTTCACCTATCGATTTCACCCTCACGATAAACGAGGGACCACTGTATTCATGGAGGATTGTCGTGTGGGAGCGAGTGTGGGGGGTCGAACAGGGCCAAGAGAGATCGCTAGATTACTCAAACATTCTAACATGGCTCCAAAAACAGTCAGTTTTGCACAATACCCCCTCTGTAATGACGCACTATGTAAACACCCCCTTTTCCGGAGGAGGGTCTGCCACCTTCTTGTCTCCATGGAGATGTTATGGCTTTGCCCGGAGAGTTCCACAGTATGGCATTAAACTTAAGCATCTCCACGAAGAAAAGCACAATTGAGAAATGTTACACAGTGCGTCTTTAACTATAAACTACGTATTGGATTTTTTTTTTGTCGTATTTGCAGGCGTTTCAATTTTCTTTTCCTGATTTCTTTCCAAGTGTGGGAAAAAAAACCCCACAAGTAAATACACCCAAACTGGAGTCAAAACTACTCAACCTCAAACGATAGATGCTCAGAACTGAAGACTTTTTTGCAGTGTGTCCCGATAGTGGAATGTGAGAGTACATGAGGACCTACTGGAGAAGAGCAAATCCATCTGAACTGTCAAAAAACCCCAAAAGTGTCTGTAGAAAACTTTTTTTTTCTTACATATAAACATTGAACTGAACAGTGACCAGAGCCTGACCCGTCACTGACCCGCCCGTGTGTCAAAAGCGCCTTTTGTCTCCGCAGATCTGCTGTTGGACGCTTTAAGGCTGCAGTGAGAAACGTCCAAAATCAAATAAACAATTCTAAAAGAAATTATTCAGAATATCGATTTTGATTTTTATCGTTAGACCGTATAAAACTTACAAATATGTCATTGTAACTGAGTTGATTTTTAGGGTAATTGTACTTTCTTGAGTAGATTAATAAACTACTACTTGTACTTGTAACTGAGTATAATTCTACCCGTGTAATTGTAATTAATTAAATTTTAAATCATAGAAGTTACAGAGTCCAAACAAATCCCAACTGTGTAATCTACGTTTGTCTCGGCTGCTCAAAACAGGCTTCGAAAAGGACGTTAAAGTATTTATCATGCATACTTTTTACTTTAAATTAACTACTACTTTGGCAGTAGCTTGTAATCGAGTACATTATTAGCTAACTACTCACTACTTTTACTTTCCAGTACTTTTTCTACCACAACATAAAGACCGTAAAGAGAACTGGTGTTTGTCATAATGAGGGAAATTTCAGAAATGGCTTTTTTGTTTTGAATAATTTCACATTAAACTGATTGTACGTTTTTTTGGTCTACAGCTTATTTGCACAGTTCTGCTCACAAATTTAAACTTAACTTCATTAAATTGGACTCAAAATGTGTAAAACAGCATAGGTCAGTGAAGCCGGTCGTTACAGTAGTGCAGCGTCTTTGCAGTACTGGTGTTTCAGTACTGCGCGGGTCTTTGGATTTTCATACACTAAATATTCTTATCAAAACAGCGTAGTTCATTTGATGTGTATCATTTAGAAAGATATTCAGATATAAAACCAGATTGTTATTAGTTTAGTACAAAATCCGTGTGAGAAGGCACCAGCGCTGCTCAGACTTTGTGCTCCATTTCAATTGGCACCACTGACAAATATGGGCAAAGAACATGGATCAGTGTCAACAAACTGTCTGTCACGAGCCTCAAATACTGTTCGATTAGAATGTGATTATTTTTGAATTATCATGAAGGTTGTCACATTTATATGGAAGCCCATTTCTGCCAGTAAATAAAGAATAAAAGCCTCAAGAAAGTCATAATTATGAGTTTAAAAGTTAGAATTAGAGTTTAAAAGTCATAATTCTAACTATAAAAGTCATAATGACGAGTTTAAGTCATAATTATTGAGTTTAAAAGTTATTACAAATTTTGAACTCAAAATTGTGACTATTAAACTCATAATTACGGGTTTAAAAGTCATAATTATGAGTTTGAGTTTAAAAGTTATAATTATGAGCTTAAAAGTCATAATTATTGAGTTTAAAAGTTATTACAAGTTTTAAACTCATAATTATGACTTTTAAACTCAAAATTATGACTTTTAAACCCGTAATTCTGACTTTTAAACTCAAACTTAAAATTATGACTTTTAAACTCATAATTCTGACTTTCTGTGAGGCATTTATTTTTTATTTACTGGCAGAAACGGGCTTCCATACATTTATCCCTATTTTTTTTCTTTAGGAACCTTCATTTCAAACTATTATTATTTCTTTTTCATATTTATTTACATAGCTCCCGTATGTAAATTTATTCAGATTTATTCGGTGGATGTTCCTTAACCAAAATATCCATTTCATCAGGAAAGCTCCTGACTAAATACAGTATATTTAAACCAGAATGTTCCACAGGATGGCATTAAATGTACCTCCACAGAGATAAGCAGGAAACGCCCTGACCCCACCTGTAAGAATGCATGTTATTAAATATATCTATACAATAAATACAAGTTAGACAAGTTAAATGCCATACTGCGGAACATTACAGCCACGGCAATAACATCATCAACCAATCTGACGCCATTTACGTCACCGCAAATTTGATCACGGCGCCAAAACGAGTGCAGGGTCACGGGCGGGCCAGCAGGGGTCAGGCTCTGGTCTTTACGTATCCATGACAACAGAGATGGACATTCAACGTGATTTTCAGCGGCGCGGTCCCATCGGCCACAGCACAGACGTGACCAAGGACACTTTTGCATGATTCAAAAACAGATGCTACACTCCTCTGGCGCTGCATACGTTTACAAAATGTCAATGTCGTCGGCTTGTCCGCGTCAAGCCGACGTTCTCCCAGTGGCGTCGGAAAAAAGTACAAATAAAAAACAGCCGAAAACATGCAGGTACAAAATGATCGAATGGCATCGTGTCCGCGTCGGGTCCGATCGGCGTCTCCGGGGTTTCCATAGTAACACTGGACTCACCGTGGCGCCGCGTGGGCTAAGGCTTCCTGCACATTCAAGTTTCTCTGTCCAGGACGTGCCAAAGAGCTACAGAGGAGGAAGACTCAGGGGAGCGCTGGGACAGAGACTGGAGTAAAGATGGACACTGGGTTTGTAGTAACCAGTCAGAACTATTAAAGACGCACTATGGACTTTTTTTTGAGGTGGAGGATCCCAAACCTACTAGTCTCCGTGGACTTTACTCACACTCTTAAGGCCGCCACACACTACAGGATTTTTCTAGTGCCTCTGCTCAGGTTCATTTCTCTCCAGTGACTAGACGATTTGCAAGAACCCCAGAACTTTTAGACCGCGCACCGACCAATCAAAGAAGAGCTGTGAAATCATGATGTCAAACTCGTGGTGTCTGTCTAGGTCCCTTTTGTGGTTAAAACAGTAAACAAAGCGTCGAGATGGATGTAGACGAAGACAGACATTCTGTGTTGGTAATGATTCCCGAGATTGAGGATTTAAAGCCGGAACAAAGAAAAATGTTGGTGAATTTTATCAAGGGGAAAGACGTTATTGTTCTTCTTCCGACGGGATTTGGTGCATTATGGAAAATAAAATGTAATTTGACAGTATGACATCATCACATCTGAAACCACCACAAGATTTCCAATGAAGTTTTACATGCTCTTTTTTTTTTTTTTTTTGTCATATCATTGATAAAAGAAAATAAATGAGGTTCAAAAAAGTCAATAATTATTATGATAATTTTGGACACTGTGTGTGTGTGTTTTTATATTTATATGTTAAGCTATGTTATTTATTTAAATGTTTACAGTTCGTGGTAGTAGCAGAGCAATGTAGCCAGTCGCCATAGTCTGTATAGCCAACGTTGTCATGGGACGTTTCTAAGTAACCGCGACCAAATAGGAGTGATTTGTTCAATAAAAAAGTACCCGCCTACCGTCAAGCGAATGAATCCTAATGCTGCGAGGTCAGATGAATCAGGCTAGAATTTTTCATCTTAAACGATTTTTACACACCACAGACATGAGGTGAATCTTATAAGTCGTTAAAACTGCAGCAGGATCTGTCTGCGGACCACAGGATATAAAGTTGTGAGGGCGATCAACTTCTTTTGCATGTAAAACCACTCGCTCTGAGACTCTTTAAGTGTCCAAAGATCTAGTTTAGATACAAGTCAAACTGAGGCAGAGCGCTTCACTGGGTCTTAAACGAGCAAAAAATAGCAGTACAGTATATTCAGTCAGAGTGCCTCGGGTTTGTACCTTGCCCATTTTTACATTTTCAGGTAAGGGTAACTTTCTGTTTAAAGACAAGTCAAACTGTGTTATTATTATTTGTGAAATGTGGTGCAAAACTTCAGATACATGATTTTTGGAGATAAAGTTCACAGGAAGTAGAGTTACTATCGTTAATCCGCAGCTTCACCTTGATCCGTGCGCTGTGTGGATGTAAACAAACAGACGTGAGGAACTACTCCCACCTTTTTACTTTTAAAGAACGACTCAAACTGGATTCACTGGTTTTGTGGACTGGGGTCATTTTTTAGGGAGGAAAATTTCTATGGATAATGTGTTAAATTGACAACTTTACGAGAGGCGAGGAATAAAATCTGCTCATTATTTTCGCTATTTCCCGAGTTTGTAACTTGCGAGTCTGTGTCCGTCACTCCTCTGCCCCTGACGCTCTGTTTTATCGGTTGTTATCGTAGCATCGCTGATGTTCAGACGCAAAAGACACCAAGACACAAAGTGGGGTCACGCCTCCCTGACGTCAGAGAGAAGCAAATCGCAGCCAAAAACGGGCAAATTCTCCTGTATTGTAGTGTGTGACGGCCTTTAGTTCCAGAGTAGTTTCAGTGTAGTTATCTCCTCCCTTCAGGCAGATATAAGGCAGTGGTCACCAACGTCTGACCAGTGAATCAGGTTCATTCTGAGACTTTTGTCCCGATGACAGAATTGAATTTTTTGTTTGCCGTTTTCCACACGATGAAAATATAAAAGCTTGGGAGTCACCTGGGAGACACGCAGGAGACTTTTTTGGCAATAAAAATGACGAATCCTCCACCAGAAAACACACATAGCGCTTCTTTAAGAGACAGTTTTATGCACGTCTGTGAATAAAACATCCATTCGGGTTGGTTTCCTTCAGCGCCAAGTACTTCTGCCTCACAGTAAAAAGGTCCTCGGTTCTATTCCCAGACAATATGGAATGTGCTTTTAACAGATATAAGGTTGGACCGCGTGCGCACACTCTCCCGCAGAGAACTTCCCCGGCCTCGTACGGTTTTGTGAAGACTTCAAACGGACTGGAAACGGGAGCGGGCGCGAGCGTCTGCTGGTTCGTAGTGGCTTCATAAACATCCGGAAATGTGCCATCTTTACAACAGTCCACTGCAGGTGAGCAGGTTACACACGGGACACCGCTGCCCGGCCGCCACAGACCAGCTGCTGAGGGGGCAGAGGATGGACAGAGGAGGGCAGAGGATGGGCACAGGAGGGCAGAGGATGGGCAGAGGATGGACAGAGGATGGGCAGAGGATGGGCAGAGAAGGGTAGAGGACGGGCAGGGTGGGGCAGAGAATGGGAGTATGGGGCAGAGGAAGGCCACAGGAGGGGAAGAGGATGGGCAGTGTGGGGCAGAAGAGGACAGAGGAGGGCGGAGGAGAGCAGAGGAGGGCAGAGGAGAGCAGAGGAGTGTAGAGGATGACAGAGGAGGGCAGAGGAGGACAGAGGAGGGCAGAAGAGGGCAGAGGAGGGGCAGTGTGGGGCAGAGGAGGGCAGGAGCAGGCGTCCACAGTGAAAGGAGCTGTGCTGGGGTCAGACGAGACGGGCACGGTCCCTGGTCCCCGGCAGGTCCCTGGTCGGTCCCTGGCAGGTCCCTGGCAGTGGAGCTACAGTGGTCAGGAGGTTCAGAAGTAGAGGGCTGGTTCGCTGCTGTAGTCGGAGAGGGACGAGCTGTCTGCTGGGGTCAGCTGTGGAGGAGAGCAGGAAATGAGCTCTTTATGAAAAACAAAACTCCCACTCCTACACACAAGTACAGACACTAAAGCTAGAAGAGAGACTGCCCAAAGTATACATCAAATGTGTATAGTAAATAAAGACTTTCAAGACATAGAGTTTACTTTTGCTGTTGATAATTTTCTATAATCTCCCAAAAGCCAGGACAAAGGTTTAAATGATGTCCTCTGTGTGTTCTAGAGTCTGTAGTCTCACCATGATGTCCTCTGTGTGTTCTAGAGTCTGTAGTCTCACCATGATGTCCTCTGTGTGTTCTAGAGTTTATCGTCTCACCATGATGTCCTCTGTGTGTTCTAGAGTTTATCGTCTCACCATGATGTCCTCTGTGTGTTCTAGAGTTTATCGTCTCACCATGATGTCCTCTGTGTGTTCTAGAGTCTGTAGTCTCACCATGATGTCCTCTGTGTGTTCTAGAGTCTGTAGTCTCACCATGATGTCCTCTGTGTGTTCTAGAGTCTGTAGTCTCACCATGATGTCCTCTGTGTGTTCTAGAGTTTCTAGTCTCACCATGATGTCCTCTGTGTGTTCTAGAGTCTGTAGTCTCACCATGATGTCCTCTGTGTGTTCTAGAGTTTCTAGTCTCACCATGATGTCCTCTGTGTGTTCTAGAGTCTGTAGTCTCACCATGATGTCCTCTGTGTGTTCTAGAGTCTGTAGTCTCACCATGATGTCCTCTGTGTGTTCTAGAGTCTGTAGTCTCACCATGATGTCCTCTGTGTGTTCTAGAGTCTGTAGTCTCACCATGATGTCCTCTGTGTGTTCTAGAGTCTGTAGTCTCACCATGATGTCCTCTGTGTGCGCTGGCTGTGGAGGAGCCTCGTCTCGGTGGGCGCTCTCCTCGTCTCTCTGCTCCTGCCACGTGCTGTAGTCCACCGCGTGTTTAGGAATGTAGTTAGACAAATCTGCCATAAGAAAACAAAATCACACTGGTGAGTACATGACAGTATACGTGTAGTACATGACAGTATACGTGTAGTACATGACAGTATACGTGTAGTACATGACAGTATACATGACAGTATACGTGTAGTACATGACAGTATACGTGTAGTACATGACAGTATACGTGTAGTACATGACAGTATACGTAGTACATGACAGTACGCGTAGTACATGACAGTATACGCGTAGTACATGACAGTATACGTGTAGTACATGACAGTATACGTGTAGTACATGACAGTATATGTAGTACATGACAGTATACGTGTAGTACATGACAGTATGCGTGTAGTACATGACAGTATACGTAGTACATGACAGTATACGTAGTACATGACAGTATACGTGTAGTACATGACAGTATACGTGTAGTACATGACAGTATACGCGTAGTACATGACAGTATACGTGTAGTACATGACAGTATACGATACAGTATACGGTAGTACATGTATACGTAGTACAGTACATGACAGTATGGTACATGACGTAGTAGTACATGACAGTATACGCGTAGTACATGACAGTACGTGTACATGACAGTATACGTGTAGTACATGACAGTATACGCGTAGTACATGACAGTATACGTAGTACATGACAGTATACGTGTAGTACATGACAGTATACGTAGTACATGACAGTATACGTGTAGTACATGGTATTATATGGTGTGGTCTGTAATCATCTCACCCAGTTATTACATTATTTATTATTATTTACTCAGAGTGGATTTTATTCAAGATATTTTAATACAAGTTAGAAGTTTAAAGCCATAACATGGAATATTCCAGGCAAATCATTGGAGACAAGCAGGTGGTGGACCTCACTGTGCATTTTTAACCAAACAGGCCTTAGGCTTTGAGCAGAAGAGTAAATAATAATCGGTACTATGCTGTGAAGCCAGTGCAAATGTGACTGTAGTTCTGGATTTAACCAGAAGAGGTCGTCCTAAACACACTATAAAAACACATGTAGAGCTGCCACCCTTCTTTTAAAAAACACTTTTAAGCATTTATTGCTTAGTTACTTACACTTTTACAGGTTACGTTTTCAATTTAGATTTATTCAAAAACACTGGACATGATGCCAAGATGTTTATATTTTTATTATTCTTCAGTCGTGTCTGAAGCTCTGAACTTTCACATGAAACATGACCTGTTCATAAAATCTCACACTGTGTCCTCTATCTGCAGGTTTATTATTATTATTAGTGTTTTGTAGGATCACAGGATACATACAGTTCCTTTGTAGACGCTGTAATTAATATAAATATAACTTGCAGTTATTGAATGAACCAGTAGAGGTCGTCCCGTCCAAACTCTTCCTTTTAATTATGAAAGGACTAGAGTTATTTAACACAATTGTTGCATCAGGAATGCAAAATGTCCAGTTTTTTAAATAAATGAACCCTCTTTCATATGAAGAGGAAGTGCATGTTAAAAGTGTAAAAAATAAACATAAACAAAATCTAAAAATGAGAAAACAGGACAACATTAACCCTCGAGTCCCTGACCCACCGTTGGCGTTGTTGGGGTGCGTGGCGGCTGTGCTCGCGTTGGCGCGGGGGATGTGGATGCGTCCCACCATACTGGGCGTCTCCTGTGGACTGTCCCCCCTGTCCGTGTCCTCGTCCTCGCTGTCCCACACGCTCGTCTCGCTCGGGTACTCGTAGGTGCTCTGCAGGCTCGACTCGTTAAAGGAGATCTTCAGCTGAAACACAAACACACAAACACAACGGTCACAACACGAGGAAAGTCCAACTGTTCAAACTTTTGAGATTTGCTCCAATCAGTAACACAAAAACAAAAGAACTCTTTATTCTGTTGTGTTTTGAATCATACGAGCTCCTAATTTTAGCCATAACTTTGAAGTAAATGTGACAGGTTTTCATGTTTTTCTACATGATGGACGGTGGATAATTCCTGTGGTCAATCTTTATCATAAGTGGCACTTTGTGGAAAAAAAGTTGGGCACAAAAGTACAAAAATACAGGAAGTACAGGGAACAGAACGACTCTTCCCATGTCATCAACATGGAAAACTCCATCTAACATCCAAAATGCTGAGAAAATTTGTGCACGAGGAAAACATGTTTTAGTTTAAACCTTCATTTAAGAAAATAAAGTTTATTATTTAGACAACCGAGTGTAAAACCAAACTGTGGGACATTCCAAATCAAAAACATCTCCATGAACACAAGCTGCCAAAAAAAAATTACAAAACACTAACCAAACTAAAAATATTAAGCCTATTTAATCCGTTGTGATTGTGATTTTAGGTGTAATCAAGCGGCTCTTATGGCAGGCTGTACACAAGAGCTCTTTAACCAAAAGAGCATGTCTGACTAAAGAGCCCGGACTAACCACAGCCATCAGTTCATTTTGGCTGGAAGTCTGGAAAAACGTCACTGTAGTTCTCCTGTGTCTTTCCGGGAAGTATCTCTGGAGCATTAAACCTAAAATAGAACCATTATCACACTCACACAATCACACGAATAAACTCTGGAATATTACGTTTAAATAATCCCGACGGCGAGTAAAGCACGTTGAAGATTACAGACGGACATTTAACGAAGCTCTTAAATTAAAAAAGGCATGTTTCAGAGTCATTTTTCTGAAGTTAAACTCGTCCGGGTGAAGTGTCCGGAACAAAACTCGCTCGACATGTGGAGGTGAGTCCCCTGAAGCGCGGGTCAAACGCAGAGGACAAACTAACCTCTATCTGTGGACGAAAGCAACTGACCTGGTGATGACGAGAAGAATGATTTATTTTAGTTTTAAGATCCTCATTTGAGCAGGTTTCAGTACTAAAAAAGTCCCGCAGACAGACGGTTTCACTTTGTGGAAACCGTGTGACCTCACAGCGTTAGGATTCGTTCGCTCGATGGCAGGCAGGTACTTTTTTTTATTTAACCAATCGCTGCTGTTTGGTCCGTAATGGGGCCAACTGGTACACAGTGTTCCCTTTTTTATCGCGGGGGTTACGTTCTAAAAATAACCCACGACAGGTGAAATCCGCGAAGTAAGCAACTTTATATTTTACAATTATTCTATCTGTTTTAAGTGTGTAAAACCCCTCACCACACACTTTATACACTTTTCTCACATAGGACACTTAGGCTGCGTTCAGACTGCAGCCTGAAGTGACCCAAATCTGATTTTTTGGCCTCTATGTTCCTGTATCTGATCTTTTAATGTCAGTCTAAACGACACAGATCCGATTTTTTTCAAATGTGACCCAGGACACTTGGATCTGTGCTCCTGAAACTGATACATATCTGATCTTTTGACATGTGACTTCAGTCTGAACGGTCAAAGTGCATTCATCCACCTACACGTTATCAACAAGACACAAACGTCACTATTCTGCACTGAAGTCGGCGAAAATTGTTAATGAACTCCGTGTCACTGAAGTGAAGCACATCTCCACTCACCACTCTTGGCTCCGTCTCCACATCCACACGTTCCTTTCAACAGACTGAACCACAAAACACCACGACCAAAAACCTCGTCCTTCTCCTTCTCAATCTCCTCCTTAAAACAAGTAAGTTGTTCATGTTGTGGCTCCGGTACGAGAGGAACTTTAAAATCTCCAGGTGCTCGATGCTGCGTCCATGTTTGGACAACTTCTGTAAACACAGAGACGCTCGCTGTGGTTGACAGACATAGATCCAGACATCGCAGACACAGATCCAAACACTGAGATTATTTTCTTTTTACGGACAATCGGTTTCAGTCTGGATTAAAAGGACATTTATTAGTTCAGACTTGTGATCTGAGAGGAGCCTGTGTGAGCGCTGAGTGTTGGAAATGTGTCGACTTTGAAGCTGGTTTTGACTCTTCCTCATTGGTTAGCGATTAGCTGCTGTAACTCCTGCACATAAACGGACTGTTTTCTCTTCTATTGTCCGGCTGTAAAGTGACTTTATTGGCCGTATATTTGTTACTGGACCTGCACTGATGTAAATGAGCTGTGAACAGAGGTGTGAATGATTGACATTTACACATATAATTACCGCGGCGCACATGCATTTATGGCTAAAGGCCGATGGCGGTAGTTTATTTTCTTTACTCGCTGCCAGAATGTGATGTAAAAATGCCATTAGGTCGGCCTACTGTCTTTAAATATGATGTAAAGAGTTATAATAGAATAACAATAAATATTGCCTAAATAAACCCAATTTAAAATCCACTAGAGCACAGGTGTCAAACATGTGGCCCGGGGGCTAGATCCGGCCCTCCAAGACCTTTAATCTGGCCCTGGGCTGATTTTTCACTAAAATATTCATTAAAATCTTGTTAATTTTCTGTGGTGTTTATCACAGCAGCGTCTCCAGCGTCTCTGTACGTGGCCCCTCCCACCAGAGCAGCACAAATGAAGACTTGTCTCTTTCCAAACGCTCTTAAAGGACGATCGTTTTGACTGTTGACCGTGACACCCTCATCAGAAAAATGTCCAACATGAGAAAAGTGGAGCCGAGTGCAGGATTTTACAACAAAAATGGACTTATTCCTGTTTATACAAGTTAATGTTAAACAAGTTCAGGTTAAAACTTCATGTTGAAATTGTATTTTTCTTAAAGTTTCAGGTTGTTCATAATATTATAATATTTTGTAAAAGAAAGAGTTCATCAATTAAAAAAGATTTCTGTAATAGATTTGTGTTTCTCTGCACAAATATTTGAACTTATTGTTATTTTTGGGGTTTATATGACATGAGTTTTCTGATCCGGACACTTTGGGATCAAAGTCGGTTGGATACGGCCCCCGGACCAAAATGAGTTTGACACTCCTGCACTAGAGCCAAACCTAAGTTTTTTAAACAATTCAAGATTTATAGTGAATTTTTACATCACTATATATATCGGCTCCTCCAACTCCCAGTTTATCGATATATCGGCCACAACAAAATCCATATCGGTCGGACTCTAGTCTAAATACAGTGTTTTTTTTATTATTGCTGTATTAGAATCAGTATTGAGTATCGAGTCTGTTCTTTAGTGTTGAAATGGAGTTTGAAATGTTAGTTTGGAGACAGCGCTGAGCCCCTCCCTCTCCTCTCCTCGTCTGTATCTCCTCAGAACAATAAGGAAGCGCACAGGACCAGAAGCACTTCCTGTTCACTCAGAGTCTTTTACAGTCTCTCCAGAGTCTGTCGATTTGTGCAGAGCTCTTCACACAGTCTGCTCCACGCTGGCCTCAATGGGCTGTTTGTTTGTTCTAAACACATTTGGCCCCCGAGACGAGGGGCCGGTCTGCAGGACAAGTGCACTCTGGGACGTCCTGTCACAGAGACGGACACTGAGCCGATGTGGATTCTGCAGATATGGACGTCGTTAAAGTCACTGCGGCTGTGCTCCTTTAGTCCTTTAATCACCGGAAGAGAGGGATTTAATCGACCAAAATGTAGTCGAGTATCAGTTTAGATTCTAAGGATTTATATAAAACAACAGCAAACCTAAGACCAGACCTAAGAGCATTTTTAGTACATTTGACCTCGCCTGGATTTTTTCCTTAATTTTGCGATTAAAACTCCTCCTTTTACCTCCTAATGAAGTGTTATACATCCTTTTTTTCAATACAACCTGTTATTTGACAATCTGCTGCTGAAGTTGTGTCATAGGGCTGTAATAAAAGCTACAGGACCAGAAATACAAATGAAAAAGAAAATGGGAAATAAAATTCACTCTTTCAAACAAAACACAAAGCAAACGGTGGCTGAGTGGCTAGCACTCATGCCTCATAGCAAGAAGGTTCCAGGTTCGATCCTTCGGCCTTTCTGTGGGCCTTTTCAAAACATTCTACATGTCTCCAGGAAGAACAGTTCATAGCCAAGTTCAGAGACGAAATGAGCACTGCTGCTAGAACCTGGTACAATGCACCTCTCCTGTTAAGATTAATGTAAAAAGTGTGTGCTGTCCCCGTCTTAAATAAATAAATAAATAAACAAACATATATAAACAACTTTTTGGCTTAATTTAGTGCAGGAGTGTCCAACTCAAATTCTCAGAGGCCAAAATTAAAAACTGGGACTAAGTCGTGGGCCAAACTAAAAATGTATTGAAAAATTTCAACAACATCTGCATGTTTTCTCTTCTTTCAAGATACGTAATGTTAAACCTTTTCTTATTAAAATAAATGTTTAATAATAGTTTTGCTTAAACATTGAATCCAGAACAAGCAGAATATAAAATAATTACAACATTTTAAATAAATAATGTCTCTATAGTCGATCTGTAACCAACGGCAGCACTAATACATGTTTGTTATGATCTTGTGGGCCAAATATAATTATATCGTGGGCCAAATTTGGCCCCTGGGCCTGAGTTTGACATGTCTGGTTTATGGTTTGGAAACACAGTGGATGCGCCGCAGCCTGAGTGCAGAAAGCGCCGCTGTCTCTGCGGTTCACATGAAGTCGCAGAGTTTGCTCGAGATGTTCTCAGCACTAAAACAGTTTATCTCCGTGTGATAAAATAAGTTCTGATGTTAAATGAACATTAGTGAGTTTGATTCGTCTTAATGACCCGTGTGTGGTAAATACAGGTGAGTGTGTAAATGACGAGAAGAAACGTCTCAGACTTCAGTATCCATCCACACCTGATCCATACACCTGTCCCCGCCCCCGAGAGTCTGAAATCTGCTGAAATCCTCCAAGAACATGGAGACAACATGATACAGACACAACAGAGACTCTTTCTGCAGGAGACAT